CGGAAGTGCCATGGGCATTATGAATATGGTCGAAAAAGCATACTCAAATTTTGCACCAAAGTCTGTTGGGATTGCGTCACCTGTTGTAGTTCACACTTAGGATGTGATAAGGATGTGATAGTGGGAAATTTGTTGAAGCACAAGCACTAACACAGTACACACTAAATTGGTGTGTATGACGAAACTAAGGGTTTGATTGATGTAGTTTGTTGGAGTTTTTGTTGGTTAATTTTGTATTATTTATAAGTGGTAAGTTTAAATTTTTATTAAAGAAAAAATTTAAAAGTTACTTTAAAGATAGAAAAAAGTGAGTAAAAAATAAATAAAAAAAATTTATGAAAAATTTAAATTTAAAATTTTTGATCTTTGACTATTTAAATTTTTTTTTAAATTAAAAAAAATATCTAAAAATATAAATTTAAAAAAAAGTTTAAATTTATGAAATATAAATAATTTGAAAAACTCCATCAAACGAACTTGTATATGCAACAAAAGGGGACCCATTTAGCCTTTTAGCCTAGCAGATATTCCTTTACGTTTACGCATGTGTCTCTGTATTTAAAATGCAGGTGGGAAATGAGCTTGGAGCTGGTCATCCATACAAGGCAAAACTAGCGGCTATGATCGCATTGGGCTGCGCCTTTGTCATTGGCTTCATCAATGTGGCATGGACAGTGACATTTAGAGAGAGATGGCCTGGTCTATTCACCACGGATGATCTGGTCAAGCCATTGGTTGCAACCGTTTTGCCAATCATAGGACTATGTGAGCTTGGGAACTGCCCTCAAACAACTGGCTGTGGCATCCTACGTGGCACGGCAAGGCCCGTAATTGGGGCCCGCATAAACTTGGGCTCTTTTTACTTCGTGGGCACACCGGTGGCCGTGGGCCTGGCGTTTTGGCTTGGCGTCGGGTTTCCCGGGCTCTGGTTTGGACTACTGTCCGCCCAAGTGGCCTGCCTCGTGTCCATCTTGTATGTAATCTTGGTGTGTACGGATTGGGAAGTAGAGGCTTTAAAGGCAAAGCAGCTTACTAGTATTGAACTAAGCTCATGCAATGGAGATGCGGAAAAGGGATATGAAAATGAGGAGGAGAAAGAGTTGTTGGCGAATGGGAATGATAAAACGGAGGAAGTTTCGTGAAGATATATAGAAGTGGGATATCTATTGAGGGGACGGTTGTGGGATTGGCATTAATTGGCGTGTTGTTTTTGTTGATAGATCACTAGCTTTTTGGGGCTGACCCATGCTTGGATTTTGTGTTTGTTTTGGCGTTTTCATGGAGCCATGTTCTTTTTATTTGGAGGAACTGTCACTCCCACAGACGAAAATGCCGAAGATCTATCATATCATGAGAATGACCCACTTCTTTTTTGTTACCTAATGACTTCTCATATCCGTGATTTAATTGTTCTAGAACTTCTACTTTATCATAGTGTTAGGGTTTCATTAGCTAGCTCAATATTTGAGCAATGATTGTAAGTTTCAAAATCTCATATTGGATCCTTGCATTGTTTGCCAATCAACTAGAGGCTTGGTGGCGGACCAGCCTTTATGCGAGTGCGACCACCTTTGATGATGGTCACTAGGCACAGGGCGGAACCATAAAGGTCTCTGGTTGTGTACACAAGTCTTACTTACGAATTTATAAGGTTCGGGGGTGTGAAACAGACAGGTCCCATCCACCGATCATCCCTTGTTCGACTAAAACCTAGGTTCCAGCTCGGAAGATTGCAAATTCACCGCCCTTCCTCCATTTTTTTTTTTTAAAGAAGAGCCCATGGTATGAACTACCAGCTTCTAGTTTTCATGGTTGTCAAAAAATAAATAAATAAATAAAAGAAACTAACTTTTAGTAAAGCTGGAACACATGACTAAAAGATATATGAACATAGGAAGCAAAATTATATGCAAACAAATGAAGTGCTGTTCTTCTACTGTCTGACAAGGCAGCACTAAATTTCTCTTTTGATAAAGGAATTATGCATCTACCTCAAAGCATTAGTGACAAATATAAAAAGTCAGAAGAAAGGAGAGATACAATAGGGTCAAATTTTGTTGGGTTTTGGGGTTTTTTTTTTTTAATTTCTCCTGAACAGGGGTCTGTATCAGTAGCACTCATATAGCAGCATTATTTGACAATGTTCACAGTACAGAAATCAACAAAAGAAAACAAAGTAGTGGATGGGGATGATTGGCTTTGCTTTTTGCAGGACCTGGATTGTGACATCTCACACATAGAGACTAAGCTCTGGGGCCCTTCTAGATTATGAGATTAGATGGATGAGCTTGAACTCTTTCTCACTTTCTCAGTTCATTGGAATATTAAATGCATGGTTTTTTATTTAATAATTTAAATTATATTAAATAAAAAATATAAATTTTTAAATAAAAAAATTATCTTTAATATTAAAAATTTATCTTTTACTTCATTAATTTAAATTCTATAATTTAAATAATATTACACATTGTTTTAAATATATTTTGAAAAACAAGTAAAAAAATTATTTTTTTTATCTTGATTACATAATGAGAGGTAATCATCTTTTATTTTTTATCCCATTTCACTCACATGTTATATCATTCGAATGAATTTAGGATCTCTTATTTTTAACGAAAAAAAATGACCATTGAATTATTTAAATCATTGACAAATAGAAAAACATTTTTTTATATTAATTACATAATGAGAGGTAATTCTCTCCTCTCTCTGATCCCACCTTATCCGCATGTCATGCGATTTAAATTTAAAATATCTTATTTTTAACGAAAAAAAATTATCACTAAATTTTTTAAATAATTGACGATAAATAAAAAAACTATTAAATGTTCAAAAACCTAAAAATATTGATATAATTGCACACCCTGTACCAACACCCTTTTATCACACACACGGATCATAGGAGAAAAATAATGTTTTACCCTGTGCTTATCCTTAACTTATCTCAAATAATTCGAAATTTAAACATGTTTTCCCAAAAACACCCTAATGAAGCATAAATCACCCTTTTTCTCCATTCCTTCCTTGGCCTTCACCTATAGCACCAATGTCGAGCTGGTGTCGATGGCATGTGCTATCTCCTCCCTTTCTTCTTCGTCCAACTTTTCTTCTTTTTGACCGTCATCTTCTTCACTTCTCCTTTTCTTGATTTCGTAATGCGTCAACCTCATTCAACAGAGGAGGAATCTAGACTAGGGTTTCCACTCATCTACTTCTTCAGAATTCCCTTTTCTTTCTCATATCTATCTCATCTCCTTTCTTGAATCTTATTTATTTTCAATTTTATTTTCCGTCATTTGTCTCCAGTTTTGTTTGTTGGATTTTTTATGTTTTCAGTGAATTTTATTTGGGTAATAGGACAGGAGAAGAAGTGTAGAGCAAATGATGAAGTTTGGAGCTACAAATTTGGTAGCAAAAAAAAAGAATTTTTGGGGCTGAAATTGATGGGATTTCTAGTCGAAAGTTTCCCCCCCTTTTTTTTTTCTGCAAGTTCACATCGTCGCCCTCATCCTCGTTGCAACAATCCTTAAGGTTGTTAGTTGAGAAAAAAAAAAACACAAGATTCTTGTTACTATACGTTTAGAACCAAGAATAGAGCATGACTCAGTGAATGGTTGCGGGATTAACCTATTCATCTCCTATTTTTAGGCAGGCTATAAATATATTTTTCAAAAGGTATGACACTGTCAAGTGTTGAATTAATGGATACGTGAATCATTACTGTTTCGGCAGCTTCACAATCCAACACTGTTGAAGTCTTCAGCTGCTTCTACACTTGAAAATCCCGAGGTTGTTTCCTCGGGGAAAACACTCCGACGCCCAAGTCAGCAATACTCAATAATCTAGAGAGAGATGCTCTCAAGGAGTAATTGCAGAGAGAGAAGCGTAGAGATTAATTACCCTCTTTGGAGGTGGTTGGGGGGTATTTATAACCCCAAGTGCTGACATGTATCTGCACATGTAAGCCTCTCATTGGCCCACGTGGTGCTGCCCACGTGGGTATGTCCCCTCCTCTTGGGCTTGGGGGTGCGTAGTTGGGCCTGCTGCATGTGGCCCTAAGAGGGTGTTGGGCCTAATCCCAACATTACTCCCCCCTCAGCGTTCGGTTGACGAACTGGGATGTGTGCAGCCACGGGCCAGCGTAGTTGGGTCTGCTGCATGTGGCCCTAAGAGGGTGTTGCGCCTAATCCCAGCAGCATTACTCCCCCCTCATCTTGCAGCCGACCTCGACAAGGGCGAGATGAAAGGTAAAACGAGAAGAGGCGAGCTCGCGAACTTGAAAACGTGTGGGCGAGCTGGTTTTGACGGCCACATTGGCGTGGGCCGGTCATGGCGGCGAGCTGAAGTAATTGGCGATAGACGAACATTACGCCCGAACAACTCGCATCTGTGACGACCTGAGCTTGGGGCACCACCATTGACCAGAAGGTGCGACCTCATATTTAGGGCGACCTGAGGTACCCATTGATTCACGTAAAAGCTTGTGACCTGTGCGAGCTGCAATTCGTGTATCGAACTGACATGGGACGAGCTGAATATTGGGGAATTTTGGCAAAGGATCCACACTTTTGAACGAACTGTCACGGGTGTCAATCTGGCACACTGTCATGTTTGTCACGACCTGGTAGGTGTGTTCGCTATGACGAGTTGATGTGACAATATAAGGTACATATCAGCAATGACGATCTGAATCTTGGGATTTTTCGAATGAACCAAATCTGAGCAGATCTCTGAGGAGATACGTTTGGTCTTCCGTATCTCTTTATCTTCCTCGCCATAAATGCAGGTACAGTGTTTGAGGAACGTGACAGCCGGAGGCGGCGCACGTTATGCGAGAGGCAGCTAAACGTCTGCCACGTGTGAGGCGCCTATTGGCGTGTCAGAGACACGCGTATTGCATTTAATACGGTCATTTTGGTTTTGTTTCTTTCGTAACCGTTCCCTTTGCCATTTCCACTCTTGCATTTGTTCGAAATCTTCTGAAATTCTCTGAAGCGAGGCGACTCGAAGCTTGAAGAACAGCACAGCGAATCGACTTCAAATTAGTTTCAGGTAAAAATGGTTTCGCTACGAGAACTCACAGAGCAACGAGGTAATCAGGGCAGAGAAGGAGAGGAGGAAGGGGTTTTAGCCGCGGAACCTATCACTATGATAGTGCCACCGGAGTTGCAGGATGTGCCGGAAACAGTGGCGTCTGGGAGCAGCGCCAGTTCCCGCACCAGAGACGACAGTGACGACCACAATAGTGCGCCGTCAAGCAGCTCGTCTACAGAAGAGACACCAAGCCGCGAGGAGGGGGTAGGGGATGTAGTGGGTACTGTCTCAGGTCGGCCTGTAATGGATGGGTGGGAGAGCAGAGCCATACCGAGCAGGTTGAGCAATTTGCGAAAGGCGCCGAAGGACATGCCCGCCGGATTCAATTTCAAAGCTGCACTTCACCACGAAGTAGCAGATTGTGCGCCCTCCATAAGTGGGTATAAAAGGCTGGAGGAGATGGTGAGGGCGTACCACATCCCCAAGAATATATGGCTGCGGACAGGCGGGCAGAACGAGAGGGCGTGCACTGTGTCGCAAACGGGCTGGATACCAGTGTACGCGGACCACTTTGACGCTGGCCTGCGATTTCCCCTGCCCGGATTCGTGTTCGACCTGCTGGCGGAGTACGAGCTGGCGCTCACGCAGCTAACGCCCAACAGCATAAGGTTCGTCATGGGCTTTATGCTGTTATGCGCGAGATTGGGGGTGCCAGCTAAAGCGATAGTATTCAGGTCGCTATTCCAGTGCCGATTGTGCCCGAAGCCACAAGGATCGAGATGGTACTACCTCTCTGGGAGGGATAAGAGCCAATTGTTCAAGAATGTCCGGAACAAAGTGGCGAGATGGAAGAGGCAGTTCGTATTTGTTCGCGACACGCGGACAGAGAGGATAAGCAACGACCTCGCTGCCCGGCTGTCCGAATGGCGAACCCCGAACGCCCACATCAATTACCCCCAACTGCTGCCCCGTGATGTCGACCTGAAGAACCAGCTGCTTCGGTATGCGCAAGGGGAGGGTTTGATAGATCTAGAGGCCCTGGTTACCTCGGAGCAGCTCGCCGTGTTCGGGTTTGTCGATATGACAAACCTGATCAGCGAAGGTATATTTTCATCTTATAACATGGATTCTAGCCGAGCTGAGGCTTATACATTTGTTTGTGCAGGTGAAATGAGCAGCATACTAGAGCGTCAACGTCAACGTGCCCAGAGCTCCCGGGGGCGTGGGGCGAGCAGCGCGCAACCCCGGCAAACAAGGTTCGACGAGCGGCCACCCCCAGCGCCTCAACCACGCAGCTCTTCACAACGGGGATCCAGCTCGTCGTCCAAGCCGCGAGCAGATAACAGGGCTGAGGCTGCGGCCCCGAGTGCACGAAGACGTGCACGGGAGGGGACAGAGAGCGAGGAGGACGAGGTCCCCCTTGCTAGGCGCGTAAGAAGCGGGGGCACCCAGCCCGCACAGGCGGCTCGCCCTGTGACCGTGCGTTCTCCGAACGCACCGTCAGCGACTGCGC